TTTTTTAATCAAGGAAAAAAATTGGCTCCACCAAAACGTTCTCTGCTGACGCAAATATAAGTTGATATTTGCCACACTCTATATTCTCCAAATGACAATCCGTAAGCGTAAGCTACTGTCAATGCGATCGAAGATGCTTATTCCATTTGATCATAAACAATACCTCGAGGCGGACAAGGGACAATTACGCTCGAAGGTTCCCGTCAAAATTTCTTTCATAAGAATAAACACGTGAAACATCAAGGTTTTCCAAAATCCCGTTGGCAATACGGTCAGTAAATACTTTCCAAGAACCATTGTAGAATTTTTTTCTTTTTGTTCCGACTTTAAAGCGCGAGACATGTTAAATTTCGAAAGACGCTCGGTGCTTCTACGAGAGTGGAATCGAAACTAATAAATTTACGAGCAGAATTCGCGAAATGTCACGCTCAAATAATTGACAGCGTGTGAATGACAGCTGGAGCTTAATTGCATCAATCAGGAACTCCGTTCGTGGGAGAACGGGGCACGGCAAAATAACAATAACTTCAGGCAGGCGCAATCTTCACTACCCTACCCCTATCCCTCTCCCCACCTTTCAAATTTATTTCTCTCCCCAGCCTTCCGCTGCCATCAAAATCAAAGATGGCACTCGCTTGCCAAAGTAACGCCTGCTCTGCAGGCTAGGAACTTCCGAGCCAGCCAAAATTTTAAAAAATAGTCTGGCATATTCCAGCAGATTCTTTCACTAGGGCTCTGAAATCTTATCAATCTATGGTTTTGTCACGAGCTTGTTTTCTTATCTTTAGTGCCCAGCAAGCCTCCTCAAAGGGTGGCTGCTGGAAGACTAAAAGCTGCAGAATTCATTCAAGTCACCTGGATTCCTGTGCCTTTCGGTTATGTCGGTGGTCTTCTCATAGAATCTTTCATAAATATCAAAGAATTGGTTCTTCCAACTGAGGAAGAAACAGCCATAGCAAAATAAGCGGATCTATTCCTATTTCTGAAAATTCAAACCTCGTAAATTTACGAAATTAAAGTGGCGGCTTTCAATCAAAAGGGCATGGGCCTGCATAGCGATTATGTTGATGGTGGTAAGTTTGTTGCGAGAGTGAAATACCAGGAGAGGAGAAAAATGATAGCAGTCCTCATTGTAAGTTGTTTTAAGAACTCTATTTGAAATGTACAGCCAATTCATTACCAAGTAGGGATTCATAAGCATATTACAGAGCTTTCCTGGGGATAAGGTAAATTATATCGTGACACAAACAAAATCCTCTGACGCCCACCCCCTAGGAGATAAGTAATGCAGACCGCTTCCTTATATGGTGTGATGATTTGGTTCTCTCGTTGACGGAGAGGTGAAGGAGAGGGTAGGATATTACGTCTTTCCTTCTCTTTTAGAAACCTGTCGTTGTCCGAAAATCCTTTTCACTAACTACTGGTCAACTTCCTCATATCTATGAGTGAAAGGTGAGTTATTTCGAAGACTG